CACAGGTACTCACAGTCTGGTCCTCAATGTTTCCCCTGCACAGAATGATCTTCAATCCCTCAGCTGTGGTCTGCTCCAACCTACACCCAATCAGATAACAGCACTGATGACATCACACTATGGCAGAGTTTTATACAACCAAAGAAAAGAAGATGAGGAACCTTACTCTCCGTGCTCTCCGTGGCTGGTGTGTTGCTTGGGACTTTGGCTTCCCCTGTTAACCTGATGATTTCCCCAAGATTCACCTCTTCCTCCTTGTCCTCCTCCTCGTCCTCCTCCTCTTCCTCCTCCTCTTCCTTCTGTTTCAGACCAACTGGCACCATGTGACTGGCTCTGACCTTGTTTGCCTCGACCTCGGTGATATCCACTGAGAAACAATTTTAAAATATTTAAGTTCACTTTGTTTTAATAAAATGGCGGACATTCAACTTACATGCTGCATGTAAGTTTCTTTGCAAGCACAAACCCTGTGTAAACTATCTTGGTATCAAAATAAAGCTAACACTTGTGAGATTTCATCAGACGTTTAAATATCAGAATCAGAATCATCAGAATCAGAATACTTTATTGATCCCTGGGGGAAATTATTTTTGGTTACAGTGCTCCAGTATAAACAAACGGTAACAAAGACAGACAATACACTAAGTAAGAATAGCACAATAAATATATATATATATACACACACACACATAAAAGTCACTTATTAATAAATAGCTGAAAAAGGAAGAACATGTGCAAAAAGGGTGTAGCTATTGCAGTAGATGTTACTGTATCAAAGGTACTAAGGCTGAAACATATTTTTGGATTTTATTGCATATAACCACTTTGAAAATATGCTTCAGAAGACATTAAACTCCAGAAAACCAGTAATCAACATGTGAACATGTGAATTACGCACACACTCACATACATTGGGCCTGTTTTGCCTTGTGCCACCGTCAGTTTAAATACCCCTTTAAACCTGAGGGGCTGTAACTTTTTGGAATCTATGAGAGCTCAGCTTTTAGAAAATGTATGGTTCGCTTGGTTAGTTGTGGTTCCGTGCACATGGGGCTCGGTTGCTTGTGTTGATGGACATTTTGCGAAATGATCTTACTGCTGTTTTAATTGTTTGTTGTGTTTGCTGTGTTGGGTGGTTGTAGAAATGGTTTATATTAGCTTTTAGCTGAGATTCAGAGGTTTCTGTGGATGCCACACATCCCGGGACTTACATAACGACCTCATGTTATAGCCGATAAAATTGAATCTTCCCTCCTTTTTTGTAGCTCTTTGGTACCAGGGATGCTGGGTACCAAAAACAGTAAATCTGAGTGAAGATTTAAAGAAAGTTATATTGTATTTATTTGTTTTAGGGAGAACGATTACCACCACACTGTCAGTTATGTAGCATGGCAAAGCTAAAGGTTTAGCACAAGAACTGGAAAAAAGCACATGGATGTTGTTACATGTGAGCCAATGCTGCTAGCCAAGCTAGCTGTTTGCCCTGATTCCAGCATTTTTGCTAATCTAATCTAACTACTTGCTCATTGCAGCTTTTGCTTTATGTTTTATTGTTGATGGGCATCAATGTTGAGTTGCATGCAGTAAAAGTTCATTATTAAAATACTTTAACATTACCCTGAAGCTCCTGTTCGTTTCCCGCCTGCTTGCTGTGGGATGGTCATTGTAGGTCTGAGGTCAGAGAACTCCTTGCTCACAGCTGTGGCCATGACTCTGACGGTGCTGTCGTTGTTGTCCACCAGGTGAATCTCAGTTAATGATCTCAGACCTTGTGGGCTGTCACAGTGCTCCCGAACTGCCTGGGCTATGGTCTCAGCACAGAGGTCAACAGGGAAACCAAAGATGCCCGAGCTGATCGCTGGCAGTGCAATGCTGGAGCAGTTGGCCATCTCTGCTTGTCTCAGACTTTCTCTAACTGCAGTC